TGTCGCGCACCGCGTTTCCGAAGCAGGAGATTGGCGATATCACCCACGTCGACAATCCGGGGCAAAAACCCTCGCGAATCTCGGTCGAGTATGTATTGAACAATCGCCTCCTCTTCGATCTTCGTCAAATTCGAACGGCCGTGATAGCTGTCGGACTTCGCAATCTTTCCCTTCATTCTATCTGCAATTGTCAACTTGGGGACATTGTATATCTCTGCGGCGCGTCGGATACTCAAGCGCGGTGTTGATCGAATCGCATTGATCGCGAGAAGAACTCGGTTTTCTGGGAAGCTGTCGGACATTGTTGTGGTAGAGAAAACGCGTGTTGACGTTGGGTGGTTATGGTGGGGGAAAATGTGTCCGAGTCAATGGGGTGTCCGAGTCAATGGGGTGTCCGAGTCAATGGTGTGTCCGAGTCAATGGGGTGTCCGAGTCAATGGGGTGTCCGAGTCAATGGGGTGTCCGAGTCAATGGTGGATCACGTTAAGGATAAGTATTTTTGTTATAACGTAAAAAGTCCCCCTAATAGCTACGGTTATAGTGGCGCGCTGGTCATGATTGACCAAGTAACAAAGGCGCCGTGGACAGTTCCCTGTAAGAAGAGCGGTACTACCTGCGATGCAGTGAAGATATACTACGAGGGGCTGTACCGAGTATATAGCCTAGTAAAAGAAGATATCAGTGACCGAGAATCGTAGTGTCGAGCCAATTTACTGACGAATGTCCCACATCATGAATCAAATGGAAGCTGGCTATAGAAGGACACTCCTAAACTGAGGGATAGGATGAAAACCTTAACCAGTATATCAACCAGCGGTTATAGCCGTCGTCAACCACTTCTAAGATAACTAGTCCTACGTAATCCTAGCCCTCAACGCCATCCAAATGTATCCACCGTATAAGAGTACTAGAGTATAACCTTACAAAGTCTTATTCAGTATCATAATGCTAATGCCGTTCAACTAGAAATCCTTGGTATAGAACCCGACGATTCATAAGCAAAGGAACAGATGAACCGCGAGGCGGCTCAAGAGACGGCTCGTCGAATCTAGGGCTACTTCGATTACGCCCGGCGAATAATCATAAAGGCTTAGGAATAGCAAGCGACGTAGGCGAATAGGCATTGTCGTGAACTAGACTTCAACGTAGGCAGTTATCATCAAGCAGTCTGAACTAACCAGTCGGCCAAGCGAAAGGTATTATTCCTGGTTACCCAACAACACTATAAGATTCTAGAGGGGACCGCTATATGGGCCTACTGGTTGGAGGTCCCAGAATCCTAGCGAGGGTTCGGCTGACTTTACCACTAATCGGCCACAACGGTATCCGAATAACCCGCTCCCTAGGCAGGCTATAGAGAATTCACTCGGTGAAGACGTCGCTAGTGAGAAAGAATAGGAGATTAAAAAGATTCTTACGAGGCCGTATATATTACAGCAAGCTCTAGTGCTAATCGTAGTAGCGCGGTTAGTACACTGACGCTAAATACTACCATGCTAGCGACTTCCACAACACCCAGCGGCGTTCAAGCAACTCCACGACAAATACCCAGAGCAGGCCGGGCCGCCAGTACGTCTAGACGAGTGGTTGTTGGCTGTAGCCGAGGACTGGTTCGCAGAGCCTCGCCTAGATAAACTATCGACCAGTGACTAAGGGTGAGCGATTATGACGCTCGTAGAAAAATACATAAGACTATAGACAACGACGATATCCGGCTAGCAAAGCTCGAGGCAAGCTTTGCGAGAAGGGGGAGATTGTAAGGAAAGGTGGCCCGTACGCCCAGTTGCCTTTTTATGCCGTAGACGCATATCCTATATCTTCTCTTTCTTCCTTCCCTCAGCTCTCAATTGGCAGAATTGAGTAGTATCTGCAGCGCCCTGAATGCCAGGCTTGTGTATTGCTCGTCTCTCACATAGTATATTGAAACTCAGATAGTAACAGGGAAGGTTTTGAAGTCTATAGGTATTCTGTTAAAAACTAACAGCTGTGGATTTATCGTACTGTAGTAATTAAGCACTAAGAGATAGGCAACTACTCAATTGTGAATGCTCTTTCTATCCGCATTGTTCCAAAATAGGTGCAGGACTTTTCCTAGTTCTAAAAATCCGGATGCTAAGACATTAGTCGCCTCTAACTGCCCTCCCAAACTACCTGCCAAGTCCAATATGTCTACACTAACATTGAGATCTTATCGGATTATTATTATTATTATTATTATTATTAACGTACATGATAAGCGAACGTCCCAGACATGCGAACGTCCCATAAAAACACATCTGTACAACAAATTTCAACATGATTCAACCAACACTGACAAAAAATGATTGAAATTACTCGGAATGGTCTTCCTCGGGCACTTCTGCAACTCCTTGACAGGTGCGTGCATTATGGCCAGGCTCGCCGCATCTGCCACAACGCCGCGTGCGCGTCTCGATCCTCGGCTTCCGACCACTGCCCGCCTGTGTTTCCGCCCGTATCTGCACCTCAACATCTCTCTGGGCTTGCAAATC